AGCTAATTTGCAAGGCTGCCTTTGTGGAGCTGCCTTTTGATCAATGATTGCCTGTGTTAATGTTTCAGCAAGCTATTGATTTCTGCAACAGCTTTTGTTCCCTGAATATACGTGCAGCGGGTCTCTGCAGCACACACTATGCATGTTTGATTAAAGTTCAATTGACTTCGTTCCTGGTAAGGCCTCTGGTTGCCTCATTCCCTATTTGTAGAACCAAAGCGTTTCCCGACATGTTCTTTTGTTTGTGCTCAAGACCTAGCCACCCATGCAGTCACCAGTATGCTCTTTCTAATCCTCCTAGATTCGCTCCATTCCAGTGTTTAATCCCCTCGTAGACATTACAGTGGTTGAGAGGCAGCTAATAAAACCTGGCCTGGATTTTTTTTTAAGTCAGCTTCATTGATGTGTAATTGGTATGCATACCATTTATACCATAAAAATGCACCCACTTTACGTTCAGTTGGGGGCACAGTTCAAACAATTTGATAACTGTACCTCCATGCAAATAACACCACAATCGGTTCATACGATACTCTCTTCACCCCAAAAGGTTTCCTCATGTTCCTTTATAGGTAGTTTTCTACTTCCTTGTCCTCCAGGCTCATTTACTTTTTGTGATCGTAGATTTGCCTTTTCTAGAATGGAATTATACAGTCAGTACCCTTTTGTATCTGGCTACTTACATTCAGTGTGATGTTTTGAGATTCATCCATATTGTCAGGTTGATCAGTAGTTTGTGCCTTTTTACTGCCAAATAGTATCTAGTAAATGTGTGCACAGTAATATGTTTATCCATTCTTCTGTTGAGGGGTGTTTGGATTATTTCCAGCTTTTGGCTATGAAGAGTAAAGTTTCTGTGAACATCTGTATAAAAGTCTTTGCGTGAGCATATGTTTTTATTTCTTTTGGGTAAACACCTAGGAGTGGAATCAATTACTGGGTCATATGGTAAATGTTTGTTTAGCTTTGTAAGAACTGCCAAAGTTTTACAAAGTGGTTGAACCATTTTATATTCTCACCAGCAATGTATGAGAGTTCTAGTCATTACCCCATCTTCCTGTATTTTCATTTTCCAAACTAATTTATAGGCCTCTAGTGGAGACTCCTTCTGGCCTGGTCCTTTGATCCTTGGTACTCAGATAATAGAATCTGTTCTGGACTCCTTTTCCTTGTTTTGGTTTTTAAGATTTTATTTAGTTGTCAGAGAGAGAGCATGCACTTTCACAAGCAGAGGGAGAAGCAAGCAGGCTCCCCGCCGAGCAAGGAGCCCGGTGCAGGGCTCGATCCCAGGACACTGAGATCATGACCTGAGCTGAAGGCAGACACTTAACTGACTGAGCCATACAGGCGCCCTCCTTTTCCTTGTTTAAAAGCTATTTCTTCTTTCTTTCTTTTTTTAAGACTTTATTTATTTGAGAGAGAGCATGCGTGCACAAGAGTTCATGAGTCTGGGGGGAGGAACAGAGGGAGAGGGAGAAGCAGACTCTCCGCTGAGCAGGGAGCCCAACTCAGGGCTCAATCCCAGGACACTGAGATCATGACCTGAGCTGAAGGCAGATGATTAACCAACCGAGCCACCCAGGGACCCCTAAAAGCTATTATTTAAGTGTTGACAAAAAGTTTTTGTTATTTCTTTTTTTTTTTTTTTTAAAGATTTTATTTATTTATTTGAGAGAGAGAGAATGAGAGAGAGCAAGCACATGAGAGGGGGGAGGGTCAGAGGGAGAAGCAGACTCCCTGCCGAGCAGGGAGCCCGATGCGGGACTCGATCCAGGGACTCCCGGATCATGACCTGAGCCGAAGGCAGCCGCTTAACCAACTGAGCCACCCAGGCGCCCCTTTGTTATTTCAGTATTAGGTTTCTTTGTCATGTCCTAATTTTCTCACATACTCTAGGAGTACACAGTGCAGGAGTGGAAGTTAAAGTTGGGAACCTGTGCTTTTCTCCTGAGCCTTTTTCTGTCTGGTGTCATAGCCTCACTGAACTCTGGCTTCCCCGATTTTATCTGCGAGTTATGCTGTCTTTTAAAACCATTTGAAACTCTTTCAGACATTCATATTTGAGAAATAGAAATACATTTGACCTTAACACGGGTTAAAACGGCTCAGGTTCACTTACAAGCAGATTTTTTTTTTACGTAGTCCAGCACTATATATATTTTTTTCTTTTTTATGATTTTCTTATTAACATTTTCTTTAGTTTACGTATTGCAAGAATACAGTAAATAATATACACAATGTGTGTTAATTAACCGTTTATATCATTGGTAAGGTTTCTGGTCAGCAGTAGACTGTTAGTTTTAGGAGAGTCAGAAGTTGTACCTGGATTTTTGGCTATGGGTGGCGGCGGAGGTGGGGTGGGCGCCCCCACCCCCGATCCCTTGTAACTGCGTGAGGCAGTACTCTGCTAGACCAGCGCTGCGTGGAGACGTCAGTGCAGCTCCTAACTGCCGTCCGCTCTAGCTGAGATTTAGCAGAGACCCTCATTTTCTCTCCCATTTTTTATTCCTTCTGTGTCCTGTAGCTTCCCATTTCCTCTTACATCCCAGGCCTCTCATCTGCTGGCCCCTAAAATGACTTCAGCTAGAGGAGGCAGTGGGAGGTACCACTTTGGGGTTTCACGTTCTTCCTTCTAGTTTTGGGATTGGGCCATGATTTACTGCACTGGTTGTCTTTTTGAACCGATAGAGCATGTCACTCTGACAAAGTATTGAAGGGTGACAGTGACTTGCCTTGGCTTTTGTTCTGTATTTTCTCATAGGAACCAGAGTCAGATCAGTTTTATATCAGCACAGATCTCTTAATCCCCTAGTGGATTTATGAATTTGTTCCCTCTAGCCAGCCAACACCAAAAGATCAGTACAGATAAGTGACTTTCCAAGTCAGGAAAATAGGAAGTGAAGAGGCAGGAGCCAGGAGGTTCTCGGATCATGACCTAGGGGCTCAGGATGCTCCAGTCACCACAGGGACAATTGTAGCTTACATTTGTGGAGTAACATGTGATAGACAAACAGGACAGAAATCCAAGGGCATTCCTACATTTTCCCTTATCGCTCAGTTACTGTCTCATGGAACTGAAAAGAGTGCGGTGAGCTTGCAGACTTGTGTGTGCTCGTCCTTGGTGGTTGACTCCTGGCCTCCTTGGCCTGGGGTCATGCTTCATCTGTTAAATATTGGCAGTCACTAGCATTTTGTTAAGTGGCACTTGGAAAGACTGAAACATAACCACAGCTCCAAGAGATGCATGCTATAGGCTTACGGGAGCCAGTCAGGAGTTCCTTTTGAATCACAGGCTCCTTTAAGGATCTGACAACAGCTGTGGTCCCACTTAGAAAATGCACAGGCATAGAACCCAACTCTGAGTAGTGAGCACCCGGCACACACGTACTGCCTACTTTGCAGAAGCCATTTCCCCACCTAAAATCTGTCCACTTCTCTACAAACTCACTTCTCATCGTTCTAAGGCCATTGCTTTCTGGGGCGTGTTTTAATGAAACCTCATCTGACTGGATGCTCCAGCGATCACAAGAGTCTGTCGCCTGGTATCTGCCCTTGTTTGTCCACTTTCGTCTCCCCAGTACTGGTCTTTCCAGCTAGATCTCAGGTCACTGGAGAACAAAATCTTTGTTTCTCTCTCTTGGCTCCTCCATTCACAGGGCACTGAGCCTTCCGTGAGGCAGTGTGGTGCTCTGGCCAAGTGGCTCCCACATTGGGGTCCGAGTTGCCCACAGGGCAGCTTCCCAGGATACAGTAGTCAGCCATGCTAATTGATTGTCCACAAGATTGATTCAGTTAGAGAAAATCAATATGAACTACACACTTCCGCTGCTTTAATTGTTTTTTGGTTTTTTTAATTCCAGGTAAAGGTACTTTATCTTGGGATGTTTAAGAAATCGGTATTGTGTCAACCAGGGTTCACCAAACATGCCATTCACCTGTTGGTGTGTATGGTGTGCCTGCTGAGCTCTTGGAGGTGGGGGTAGCAAAAAGTGCCCCTTTCTTATTTCTAAAGGTTTATTTGTTTGAGAGAGAGTATGCGCGCCCTTGCCCACCTGGGAGGTGGCAGAGGGAGAGAATCTCAAGCAGACTCCCCGCTGAGCGTGGAGCCTGACAAGGGGCTGGATCTCACGACTCTGGGATCATGACCTGAGCCAAAAACCAAGAGTTGGACACTCAACCCATTGAGCCACCCAGGCACCCCGAAAACTGCCCCCCTTTCTAAAAGTTGCATTTGGGCTCATACCCCCTTGCTGTGTTTTGTTTTGTTTTGTTTTTGTTTGTTTTGTTTTCCTTTCTGCTGGGCCATGGAAAGAATAGCTCCTTCTGCCATAAAGGCTGGCCTTGTAACATATGGCACTTTCCCTCTGCGTCAGCACCACTGTGTCTGTCCCTCAGGGTCTTCCCTTGTCTTCACTGTCAGGATGCTGTACTAGCTTGTCCCGATGTGGGCACTCAGATTGGGGTAGAGGCTGCGGAGCAGTTTTCCTGGATTTGGGGTCTCTGTTTTTCTTGACCCCAGTTCCGCATCATCTCAGTTGTTTCCTTTGCTTCTTTCTGGAATAATGTAACTGTCCAGGCATTTCCTTGTCATACCTGTATGCTTTCAGTGGAATGCTGTGAAGAAGACCTCTGTGCGCACACACAGCTGGAGGGCTGGGATTTTCCTTCTTTTCGATTGTTTATTGGCGTACCTCCATGGTGGCATCTGGCACATGGTACGCACTCAGCAAATACTAGTTGAATGAACGAATGTTCTTGAAATCTAGAAATTCTGCTCTGCTGGGCTGAGGGGACAAGCCCATTCACCCAGTTAGTGGGCAGCTCACAGGTGTGTCTTGAGCAAGCCCCGTTCCTCTCACGACTGTCCTTTGTGCTCATTTCCAGCACAGCTGTTAGGAACCAGCTGCCTCTCCTGGCGGAAGAGGGCGGGCGTGCTGTGGGAGCGGGAAAAGCAAAGCCCCTCTGAACCCTTCCGTCACATCCAGCCTTCTCTCCTGCAGGGGGAGCTGATCACCTTCTATTACTACTGGAAGAAAACCCCCGAAGCAGCCAGCTCCCGGGCCCATCGGAGGCACCGCAGGCAGGCCGTGTTCAGGAGGATCAAGACCCGCACCGCATCCACACCCGTCAGCACACCCTCCAGACCCCCCTCCAGCGAATTCCGTAAGTGAGGGACTTCTCCCACGCAGCCACACGTGCACTGTCCCAGCTCTGGGCCCACCGTCACAGGCATCCTTGTGACAGTACAGGTTGGGGACATAGTGTGTGCTGTGCATATGTGCAGAGTCCGCACCCAGATGTAGCGCGGACTTTGGGGTTTTGGTAGGAGAGTTTTACGAATTATTCATGCATTTAAATTTTTAAAATAAACTCAACATCATTTTAATTTTTTAGGGAAATGTAAGTCTTGACCATCTCTCGGGGTGTTTTCAGTAACTTCGGAGGAGGTTGTTCACTTCGTAGATGACGTACTGTCTGAGTCTCGTTGCATTGGTATTGTGTTAGCAGTAAGAGCAGACTAACATTTTCTTCTTTTTCCTCCTGCTTTACCAAGATCCTCCTCTTGGTCCCAGTGTGATGTGCAGTCTAATATGATACCTTCCTAACCCCTAAAAGCTAGCAAACAGCAGTGGGCCTTGGGGTTCTGTCCTGGCCCGTGGCACTCAGCCTGAGGGCTGCTTATGTTGCACTTGCAAACGAGAAATAATCCATTTGTGCCGGGTGGGGTGGGGGGAGGGGTGTAGGACTCGATGGAGAGGGAGCTCCTCAGGATGCCTGGATGTGTCAGGGAATGTATATGGATGTGCTTCGCCTGTTCAGATTCCCAGTTATGGGTATCAGTGCCTCCCACGCCAGGATTCAGGTGTGACACCAGTCTCCAAAAATAGGGTAGGGCAGACCCTTGGGTACCTACCGCACACGGGTTCTTCGTTCTGATCTCTTGGCCCTGAGGAATTCAGAGTGGTCCTTCATGAACACTGCCTCACCTCAGCCTTCCAGGCCGCTCTGACTGGTGACTTAGAGCCTGGGGCAGGTCACAGGTGGTCCCAGTCTTGGCCAAGCATGATGGTTTCTCCCCCACCCCTGTTGTGTTCCTGCCATGCCCAGTGGACTTGAGTTCAGCCAGCGAGGATGACTTTGACAGTGAAGACAGCGAGCAGGAATTAAAGGGGTACGCCTGCCGCCACTGCTTTACCACCAGTAAGTGGGGATCGGGGGTGGGGGGAGCAGTGGGAGCATTCACCGAGACAGGCCAGGCTCAGGCACTTTCAGGTTCTGAACATTTCATGAATCCAGTTGAAGACCTGCCAGAGTGTCATTGGCTTGACATTTGCATTGTGCTTCAGGGTTACTTGAGAAAGCAGAAATCTGTGTATTTTGTCACTCCCCCGTTTACAGTGTGGTCGGGGTTGGGGTACCTGTGTTTCTGGGAAGCCTATTGCCATCTCCTCCTGGGCACCATGAGATGGGGAGGGGGGTGGATGTTCCTGAAATCCTCTCCCGCCCTGGGAGAGAGCAGGCAGCAGCAGAGTGAGTGATGGGCATCTGTCTGAGCCCATGGAAGGGCCCCCCACCCGCATTCCTCTTCCCTCACGCAGCCTCCAAAGACTGGCACCACGGGGGCCGGGAGAACATCCTGCTCTGCACAGACTGCCGCATCCACTTCAAGAAATACGGCGAGCTCCCCCCCATTGAGAAGCCCGTGGACCCTCCCCCATTCATGTTCAAACCTGTCAAAGAGGAAGATGATGGGCTCAGTGGGAAGCATAGCATGAGGACTCGGCGCAGTCGTGGCTCGGTGAGTCCTCAGGGCAGGCGACCCGGGCCACTTCAGGTTACTAGGATGCTGGGGCTTGTGCTTCCCAGGAGGCTGGGAAGCGATTCATTTTAGGTAGAGAACCAGCCCCCTTCAAGAAGTGATTGGTTCAGAGGTATTTGTTTTGTCTGTGAGTCTGGAAAGAGCCTCTGCTTTCTCCCTCCCTGCCTCGTGTCGTCAGTGGGGTTCACGTCCTGAGCTTACTTTTACAGAGAACTCTTAGGCATCAGTGTCTGGTTCAGTGCAGGCTTTCCAAGTCTCCCAACTTTCCTGTGGACCCTGGGCCCACCACCTGTAGCGTGACATCTCTCTGCTGTTTAAAACTTGCAGGTGCTTTTCTTTTCCCTAATACTTGATTCAGTTTTAGAAACTTTTGGTATATTTATCTCCTCACTGTATAGGCTTTTTCATAAAGAGGTTTTGTTTTCCAGGTTGGAAATGTGGCAGCAGGGACCTTTGGGAGCAAGGGTCTTCCCAGCTTGGGAGCTGGGGAATGCCCCAGGGTCCTTCCCTGTGGCTGGCCTCCCCAGTGGCCCTTACAGGCATGTAGATGGCACCGTCCACCTTCCTCTGACCCTAGCATCTTGTCAAGGCTGCTTGTTCCCAGGCCACCCGGCAGATGGACTGACGTGAATCATTGTCCCCCCATCTCTTCTGAGCCCCATGGCTTTGCAGAAACGTGCTCAAGTGCTTGTGGTTTTAGGAGCTGAGCTACATTATTTGACAGCTTCTCCCTTTGGGTCACTTCTCGTACTGGCAGATGAACTCAGCAGGTGTTTGGTTTGGTTTGGGTGAGGAAGTAGGCAGTTCTGTGGAATAAGCAGAGTGAGGTGATTTGAAGCAGAGCGTATGATTGTCATTCTGGAGAACTTGGCAGAGTAGACGGCCCTCGCTGACTTCTGCCCCTCAGAAAATCCTGCTCGTTTCTACCACACAATATCCAGGACCATCCCTAGAGATGAGTGCTTTGGGTTTAAGAATTGCTCTTTTCCATGTGAACCCACCCATTCACCCCCTCCTCCCTTAGCTCCATATTGACCCCCCACACAGCGAGGGACAGCCAGAGGTGCCTGTGCTTGCCAGGGCCTGGTATCTGCCATAATGCTGGTGGTGAGGTCTGCTCCTGAGGCTCCTGCGTGTGTGCTGGGGTCTAGTCTCACCAGCCTCCGGTTTGGGTGGGCAGATGTCTACACTGCGCAGTGGTCGAAAGAAGCAGCCAGCCAGCCCTGATGGTCGCGCCTCGCCCATCAATGAAGATATCCGCTCCAGTGGCCGGAACTCGCCCAGCGCTGCCAGCACCTCTAGCAATGACAGTAAAGCAGAGACAGTGAAGAAGTCAGCCAAGGTGAGGTGCCCGTCCCCAAGGCTAGTGGGCCTGCTTGGCCCTGCCTCTCCTTAAAACCCCAGGTTGCTGGAGTTGATGTTCAGCTCCCTCAGATAAGGGCTGCAGGATGTTCCTGGAGGCTCCCTGGGCATCAGCATTGCCCTAGACTAGGGCTGCAGACTGCGGCCTGGGGTCTAGGGTCTGGAGAAAGGGGGGGTCCAGTGCAGCTCCCAGCACTGACCTTTGGGGGCCATCTCTGCCTTGAGTTTCCCAAGGCCTCAGGGGCAAAGGGTAGGGTGTAATTGGAAAGGCTCCTCCCTCCTCTCCGCCCCCCCACCCCCCAAGCCAAGTTAATTCCACCCCCAGATACTTGTTTTTTCCTGGCCTCAGCTAGTCCCTTCCAGAGCTTTCTTGCTTCTGGAGATGGAACTCCGAATTCGGGAGCAAGGTGTCAGCAAACCATGGTCATTTACCCGCTGAGGCTGATGGGACATCCTCCCTTGGCCTGATGCCCCTCTTGGGCTTTCCCACTGCAGAAGGTGAAGGAGGAAGCCTCATCCCCCCTTAAGAGCACCAAGCGCCAGCGGGAGAAGGTGGCCTCTGATACAGAGGAGGCCGACAGGACCAGCTCCAAGAAGACGAAAACCCAGGTGAGATGCGCAGCTGAGCCACTGTGACTGTAGCTGGCAGCTAACACCCCTTGAGAGGCCTTGAGCCCAGATTCTTCCTGGGGCCTAGCGGTGCCCCATCTCCTAGGGAGGGACCTAGATTGGTTCCCGAGACTGGCCGGGTCAAAGGAGGACCTGTGGTCTCTGGGGCCGGGCTTGCCGCCTTGTTCGCTAGCAACGCAGGGCAGCAAGAGGCTCTGCTCTCCTAGAGCTTCATCCCTACCATCTCTGGCCCTAGGAGATCAGCCGGCCCAACTCGCCATCGGAAGGCGAAGGAGAGAGTTCGGACAGCCGCAGCGTCAACGATGAGGGCAGCAGTGACCCCAAAGACATCGACCAGGACAATCGCAGCACGTCCCCCAGCATCCCCAGCCCCCAGGACAACGAGAGCGACTCGGACTCTTCGGCCCAGCAGCAGATGCTGCAGGCCCAGCCCCCAGCTTTGCAGGGGGCACCCGGTGCGGCCCCTCCAGCGCCCTCCACCGCCCCTCCAGGAACCTCCCAGCTCCCCACACCAGGGCCCGCGCCCTCTGCCACTGCAGGCCCTCCACAGGGCTCCCCCTCGGCCTCCCAGCCCCCCGGCCAGCCGCAGGCCCCGGCGGTTCCTGCTCCCCATGCTCATATCCAGCAGGCGCCCGCCCTGCACCCACAGCGGCTGCCCTCACCACATCCCCCGCTCCAGCCTCTGACCGTGCCAGCTGGCCAGACCGCCGCCCCACCTCACAACCAGCCCCCACTGCATAGTCAGGGCCCAGGTGGCCCTCACAGCCTCCAGGCCGGGCCCCTGCTGCAGCACCCAGGCCCCCCTCAGCCCTTCGGCCTCCCTCCCCAGGCCTCCCAGGCGTCAGCTCTCCCTCACGCCTCCTTGCAGCCTGCAGCCTCGCAGTCAGCGCTGCAGCCCCAGCAGCCCCCACGGGAGCAGCCCCTGCCACCGGCCCCCTTGGCCATGCCCCACATCAAGCCCCCACCCACCACACCCATCCCCCAGCTGCCGGCCCCCCAAGCCCACAAGCACCCGCCTCACCTCTCCGGGCCCTCGCCCTTCTCCATGAATGCCAACCTCCCACCCCCTCCAGCACTGAAGCCCCTGAGCTCCCTGTCCACACACCATCCCCCTTCAGCCCATCCCCCTCCCCTGCAGCTCATGCCGCAGAGCCAGCCCCTGCCCTCCTCCCCTGCACAGCCCCCAGTGCTGACCCAGAGCCAGAGCCTGCCTCCTGCTGCTGCCGCTCACCCCCCAGCGGGCCTCCACCAGGTGCCCCCCCAGCCCCCATTTGCTCAGCACCCCTTTGTCCCTGGGGGACCTCCTCCCATCACCCCTCCAACCTGCTCCTCCACCTCCACCCCTCCTGCGGGACCTGGCCCCTCGGCCCAGGCACCCTGCTCTGCTGCTGTTCCCTCGGGAGGCAGTGTACCCGGGGGGACAGCGTGCCCGCTCCCCACGGTCCAGATCAAGGAAGAGGCTCTGGATGATGCTGAGGAGCCTGAGAGCCCACCTCCCCCACCTAGGAGCCCGTCCCCCGAGCCCACTGTGGTGGACACCCCCAGCCATGCCAGCCAGTCAGCCAGGTACTGGCCCCCCAGGAATGCGGGCACGGCCAGGGCAGGGACGGGCTGGGCAGCTGGGGCAGGCTGCGGCTTCGGCGGGGCCCCAGCGAGAGACGTGGCCTTCTTTAGGTTCTACAAACATCTGGACCGTGGTTACAACTCGTGTGCGCGGACAGACCTGTATTTCATGCCTCTGGCGGGATCCAAACTGGCCAAGAAGAGGGAGGAGGCCATCGAGAAGGCCAAACGGGAGGCTGAGCAGAAAGCACGAGAGGAGCGGGAGCGCGAGAAGGAGAAGGAGAAAGAGCGCGAGCGGGAACGAGAGCGGGAGCGGGAGGCAGAGAGAGCAGCCGTGAGTTGGGGGTCAGCCAGGCAGCGGGGGGTCCCTCCCCAGCTCTGCTCTGCGGCTCACTCTCCGATGCACAGCCCCATCCAGGGCACAAGGGAAGCTGTAGGCACAAAGCAGACTGTCCCAGCAGCGGCTGGACCATGTCCTTGCGGCCCAAGCCTGTCCCTGGCCATGGCTGGGGCCTGCTCTTGGTGTTGGGTGGATGGACCATGTTGGCTGGCCAGTGCGGGATGGCAGCAGGGCCAGGCTCAGCTCTGCAGAGTGAGCGCCTGCCCCTCATACCTTCCCTTCCTTCAGCAGAAGGCGTCCAGCTCAGCCCACGAGGGCCGCCTCAGCGACCCCCAGCTCAGTGGTCCCGGCCACATGCGGCCATCCTTCGAGCCGCCACCAACCACCATTGCCGCGGTGCCTCCGTACATCGGGCCCGACACGCCTGCTCTTCGGACTCTGAGCGAGTACGCTCGGCCCCACGTCATGTCACCCACCAACCGCAACCACCCCTTCTACATGCCCCTCAACCCCACTGACCCCCTGCTGGCCTACCACATGCCCGGCCTCTACAACGTGGACCCCACCATCCGGGAGCGGGAGCTCCGGGAGCGGGAGATCCGGGAGCGGGAGATCCGGGAGCGGGAGCTACGGGAGAGGATGAAGCCAGGCTTTGAGGTGAAGCCCCCGGAGCTGGACCCCCTGCACCCAGCCACCAACCCCATGGAGCACTTCGCCCGGCACAGCGCCCTCACCATCCCCCCCACTGCGGGCCCCCACCCTTTTGCTTCTTTCCACCCGGGCCTGAACCCCCTGGAGAGGGAGAGACTGGCCCTGGCGGGCCCCCAGCTGCGGCCCGAGATGAGCTACCCTGATAGACTGGCGGCCGAGCGGATCCACGCCGAGCGCATGGCATCGCTGACCAGCGACCCTCTGGCCCGCCTGCAGATGTTCAACGTGACTCCACACCATCACCAGCACTCACACATCCACTCGCACCTCCACCTCCACCAGCAGGACCCCCTCCACCAAGGTGGGTGACCCCCGGGCTGGGCTGTGAGAGGGCGCTGTGGGTTGAGTTCTGGTCTAACAAGGCACAGGGCAGAGGCAGAGGCAGTTCTTTCCTGAAGGAATCCCTCATTCCTGACAGAGCTGAGAATGATCTGCGTCTGTCTGGGAACCCTCTCGTTGCTTCCCTCACCCACAGCCTTTGTCTCCGCCCAGCCCCTCTGTTCTCCAGAGCTACAAGTCCCCAGAACGCTGAGTCACCCTGGGGCCCTTTGCTTGCAGTTTCCTGGATAAAGCTTAGGTTCTTGGCCCCGTGCCTCCGGTGCCGGGGATAGTGGGAAGCAGCCTGTGTTCCCGGAGTCGGGTTAAAGGCAGGAAGTGGGGCCTGAGGAGCAAGGCAGGGCATTGGAGCCCAGGTGGAGGCAACTGAGACACCCAGGGAGGCTCTAGGGTATCTTTCAGTGAGAACTTAAAAGAACAGTCCTCCTGTTCCCTCTTTGGGTACAGGGCCTTGGCTCATCTGGTCAGGGCCACCCAGTCCCATCGTTCTGGGAATGAGAGCTCCCAAAGTTCTGCCGACTGGCCAGCTGGGTTAAAGGCAGAGACAGGTACAGCTGGGGTCCCTGCTCCATCTATAGCTCTGCAGACCGGTTAGGTGGGGTGGGAGGAGCTGGGCTGCACTCGGGGACCAAGGCCTGCCATGGAGTCCCAGGGCACAGCCCACATGCAGGACTTCACAGTGGCCAGACCTGCCTCCATGCTGGGGAGGAAGGTGACTGATAGAGCAGGGCCCAGAGGTGGGGAGGGCAGCACCTTGCTTTCCACCTCTGCACCGAGCCCTGATGTGGGGAGCCTGGACTCTGTCCAGGCAGATCGTTCTGGGGAAGCCTGGGAGCTGTCCCTTTCACTCCATGGTCCTGACACCTGGAACTTTGATGCCACCCGGCATGGGCTGTCTAAGCCCCTGTGTAACCAGTGGATGTGTCTTAGTGCTGTTTGAGGACAGGCAGTCATTCGTCCATACAACATTCATCCATTTGACAGATAGTTATGGAGCACCTGTGGTATGCCAGGCGCAGCTGTAGATGCTGATAACCACCCTGTCCATTTTACCGTCTCAGTCTGGAGGCAGTCAGTCAGTATATCTTGGAGTGTGAAAAGCAGGCCGGGTTCTGGAGGACAGCTAACCAGGGGGAGGGAACAGGGGAGCTGGGAGCAAGGTTGTAATTAGAAAGCCATGAGAAAGCCTTGTCAAGAAGGTAACTTTGGAGTGGGCTTGAAGGTGGGACGGGACATCTGCAGGGAGAGAGGGACAGGGGCCCAGGGCCCAGAGAGGAGAGAGCAGGGCTTAGTGAGCCTCTTCCCTGCCAACGGCATGCAGCATCTGGCAGCACGCACTCTGCCGACCCCCTGTGGGTTCTATGGGTGAAGGGCCGGGGAGGCAGCCCTGGGGTCCCTGTGGACCTGACTGGTGCAGGGCAGGCCTAGGGTGTTCGGCCAGGTGGGCTTGGATGACCAAGGGTCCTCAGTAAAACAGCATGGAGGAGACTCTGCTTGTAGGGGCGCAGGGTGCTCAGGAATAAGAGGAAATAGTGTGTGAACTTACCTCTGTGTTACTTTCTGGAACTTTACTGCAGGTTGGGGTGGGAGCAGCCACTTTGGGTCAGGATTTTTGGTGGCCCTGGTGGCCAGGAGCCGGCTGTGGTAAGACGGAAGTCACTGGTTAATTACGGCCGAGGAGGGCGGACATGGCGAGAGCCCCAGAGCCCTGCACCACTTGTATCTGGACTTCTGCCTCTTTTTTAGGTTCAGCAGGCCCAGTGCACCCACTGGTTGACCCCCTGACCGCTGGCCCTCACCTGGCTCGCTTTCCCTATCCCCCTGGCACCCTCCCCAATCCTCTGCTTGGACAGCCCCCCCATGAGCACGAGATGCTTCGTCATCCAGTGTTTGGTAAGAATGCGCCTGGGGGAGGAGGGGCCGGTGTGAGAGTTGGGTTGGTATCTGATGTCCCGTTCATTCATTCATTCATTCATCCACGTATTCAACAAATACCTTCTGTGTGCCGAGAATCCACCTGGGAACCAGGCAGGCAAACCCCTGCCCTCAGAAAGCTGGGGGTGAATGAGTACAAATGAGTCCTTAGAGCCAGGACAAGGACAGTGGTGAAGGAGTGACAGAGGCGCTGAGTCTAAACCGAGGGTTCAGAGTGGGCCTCTGTGAAGAAGGAAGAGCCTGAAACCTTGAGGACGAGGAAGTGCATATTCCATCCTCCCCTGACCTCCACCCCCAGGGTCAGGGGATCCAAGGGACAGTACTTTGGGCCTCCTCTCTCTCCTGGGGAGGGGGGGGCTCTGCTCCATGGGCCCCTGCGGAGTAAGTAGGCTCTTGTTCCTCCCCGCAGGGCTATCTCCTGACCTGACCTCCTTGCTGGCCTCATCCTGGCCACTCCCCTGGCCTTTGTGTATTGAAGGCTGTTTTGTGTTTGGCAGGCACCCCCTACCCCCGAGACCTGCCTGGGGCCATCCCACCCCCCATGTCTGCAGCCCACCAGCTGCAGGCCATGCATGCCCAGTCAGCAGAGCTGCAGAGACTGGCCATGGAACAGCAGTGGCTGCATGGACACCCCCACATGCATGGTGGCCACCTACCAAGTCAGGAAGATTATTACAGGTGAGGTGGGGCGGGGCCAGAAGAGGGTGAGGGCTCGCTGTCTGAGCCCAGGCTCCCATGTACCCCACCTGTGGGCCACTGACCCAGCCTAATGGTTGCCCCTCCTGGCCGCGCCCACAGTGCTCCTCCCATATCAGCAAGTGCCAGACTCCTCCCCATGGCTCTGCAGGCCCTGGCCTCTTGGCCCTGGAGGGGACTCCCACAGAGCCATCTTGATGGGAGGGAGGGGAGGGGGGAGGGTCACCTGCATGGGAGGCCACTCCGGTCATCTGCACCCTCGAGCTGCATGCCTGGTGCCACCTTCCCAGGCCTGGTGCTGAATACTTTCTCCCTTTGTTTTCTTTCTAGTCGACTGAAGAAAGAAGGTGACAAGCAGTTATAAGTTATTTATTTGTTAGCGCTGGCTGTGGAAACCCCAATTCTTGGGGGGAGAAACAGGACTTTTTACATACAATATGAGCTACAAAAGCAAAAAGAATATCTTCTAAAGATTTCTTTATATATTTAAAAACCCCACCACTAAAAATGTTATCAGCATAATAGTGTTTGTTTGTAGAGAGGATTCCTTGAGACTGGTTTGGGTCTCCCTGCATGACAGTCCCCCAGAAACTTAGTGAGTCCTGGACTGGACTGAACATTCAGAAAACTTTCCCTGCAATCTTGGGGTTTGGCTTTAGTTTTCTTTTCCTTCCTTGATTTCTTGGTAGGTGCTAGAATCCAGTTCACACCCTTCACTGTGCGTGCAGACACACTCAGTTACGTGTGTTCCAGAACCCACAAGGTTTGCAGATAGGTGGCATATGAGTTTGGAATCCAAGAGCTATAATTTTTAAAAAAACTTTTATTTTAATACATTGTAGGAGATCTTCATAATTTGAGAAAGTTCTGCAGCATGGCTTTTTACGTCTGTAAATAAATAATTTTAGAATGGCATTTTTTTTTTCTTCCACAAACTATTCTGATCTATTTTTTCCAGCCATGTCACTAATTGTGAATTCCTACCAGCTATTGACAGAATACAGAGTTGATTTTTTAATAAAAAGTTATATATAATTATCCCTTTAATTAAAGGGAGCAGATGGGCGTTACTAATTGCAAACGGGCAGAGGCTTGGGACGCGGTGCGGTCACAGCAGTGAGCATCCAGGGGTCTGCAGGGATGATGTTACGGACCGTTTCTTTGTTTTGCTGCCTTGATTTTCACTTCTGTCTGTTCCTAGCTTGTGCTTTGCCAGAGGTGCGGATATCTGTCAGATGAAACTATTTTTATTTTGTCCCAGGAGTGCAAGAGTTAAATTTCCACCTTGTTCTGTCTCTGCAGGATAGAAAGCACATGTTTCTGTGTGTCTGGTTGTAGATTTCCTTCTAGATTTCTATGCACACACATTTGGTTGTTTTGGATGAACTGCCTTTTTAAATACTCTGACAATTTCATAAACATTCTAGAAATCTCAAGAAAACACCATTCCTTACAAAGAACTCAGCACACACACTTGCCAGAGGAATTTGTTTTTTTAAAAAAAAAAACAAAACTCTTTTGTGTGTGCCATCATTAGGATCTTCCTGTGGGGAGGCCAGGTCCTCCTGGCCACGCAGCTGGAGGCCCCGGAGTTGGCATGGTTGTGGGTGGCGGCCTGTGCATCTCCCCCAGGAGCAGGTCCGTGCGTGGTGACCCGCGTCGGCTGGGGACACCATTTGAATCCCACTGTTTCTCCTGGGAGTAGGAACGAGAGTCGCAGCCGCTGACGTGGAATGAGAAGGCAGGCTTTCTTGCACCTGGGAGCTGCCAGTCTGAGGGCTCCGGCTGTTACGCGGAGCGTCCACCTCTCCTTTCTGAGTTGCAGGCATGGTGTGCTTTCTCCAGGGCGGAGGGCGGGGAACCTGGGGATGTCTGCACCTGGGGATCCGGCCTTCTGTCAGGGTGTGATCTTTCCTGTTCCATCCCCCCACCAGACTCGAGAGCCGCTTCTGCCATTGTGTATGGTAGTCCCATCGGAGAGCTGCCAGATGACGTGGCAGAGCGCACGAGAGTCGGTGGGTGTGGGGTGTGGCCAGGACTGGGGCTCAGTTGGGGACAGGACCAGAAGGCTGGCGCGCTGACCCAGAAGCTAGCAGGCATTAGCTGAGATTCAGGTTCCGGTCTCAAACCTGCATCAGGGGCATTTCCAGTTTCTATTAAAACTGTTTGGTTTCAGTTGGGACAGACAGGATTGTTTTGTCTGCTGGGAATGTTCTGGAAATGTTTGTCGCTTTTCTCTTTCATTTTCTCCTGTTCCATTTCTGCCTTAACTTAGCTCCTTAGAGGGAGGCGAGCTCAAAGGAGCCCTGTGTCCCCAAACTCAGGCCACATGGGCAGGAGGCACTTGTTTCCTCTGGGGGCAGGGCTGGCCCTCCTGCAGCTCCTGCCTGAGGCCCCCACCTCCTCTGCATCTCTGTTTTCCTTTTGGTGGAACACAGTGCCTGCCATTCAGTTAGACCTTCTTGACCGCCTCTCTGTGTCATCCGTTTTTCCAAAGAAGAGACAGAGTGAAGTACTTAGAAGTCTTTACTTGAAGACTGTCTGAAGGTGTTTTCTCGTTAGGTTTTGGTTTTCCCCCATATCCCAAGGTGAAGCACTGAGATTCTTCCATTTAAGAACCTACGACCTGAAACCCTCACCTGGTCAGCCACAGTTTGTTTAGGAGGCCCCAGACCTTCACAGTGTCTTTGAAGCCCGACCCCTTGGTTTCCTTTTGGATTTTCCTTCCTTTTGTTTGAAGTTTGGTTTTGCTTTTCTGTGTTCTGTACGTATCTTGTTGAATGTTGTCCAGATTGAGCTTCATGTTCCACTGCGGCAGCAGAGTGTACATCCTGATTTGCTACGTTTATATATATCTTGAAGCTAAGTGTATATATGAGTAGTTTGCCATGAGATAACACAGTGTAAACAGAGTAGACACCCAGAAATCGTGACTTCTGTGTTCTCTCCATTTGAGTATTTTGTAATTTTTTTGAAATATTTGTGGACATAAATAAAACCAAGCTACACTACAGCAGCTGGGTGTTCACCAGTGGACTGTGTCTCATTCCTGGGAGTGGGTGGGGGTCTTGGCACTTGCCCCTACCTAGGTCCCCCAGGCTGGGGAAGGGGCAGAGGGGAGAGTTCGGGTCTCCGCTGTTTCTGGCACACTGCTTCCCTACCCTCCAAAGCACCTTCCGGATAGATTCTTCCTGCCGTGTCTGGTAGGAAGGGTTTCTGTGGTGAGTGCTCTCGGGGATGCTCCGACCTGCTGGCTTGAGATAATCGGGACCCACAATGAGCTTACCCAGGCAGCAGAATGGGCCCGGGGGATGACAGCACTGGGACCGTGGACACCCTCTCCTCACTCAGATTCCTTTCTCCCCCTGCCTCTCACCCACACCTCTCATTTGTGGACACCCTTCATGGTGAACAGGCATGTAGCTCCTTCCCAGCTTAGAGGAGAGGTCTTGAGCTGCCCACTGGTGCAGTGGCCGCCACCTCCTCCTCCCGTCCCCCCTCTGCCTCGCCCTGAGGCCTGCCCGTGTGCCAGCCCACCCTCAGAGTGGCCCTCCGGTGAAGGGATGCATTCCAGCTGGTGGCCTGCAGGGTGTGGGTGTGGCCATGAGGGGGCAGCAGTCATCAGAACGGATTCGGGCTGAACTTTCGGACACTGTCAAGGGCATTTTCATAAAGCTTCAAGGCTATCCCTGGAAGTTTATATGCTCGCCTTTCCATCTGGAATATGGGTTTCTAGATGCCCTGGGAGACGGAGCAAGAACAACCCTATCGATAAACTGCCCTCAAACCAGGCCGACACTGCCTAGTGGTGGTAAAGGCCTGGGGAACGGCTTGTGTCACTACCTAATTGAAGACGAGACAGTTTCGCCAGCCAGGGGACCCCGGGGGGGCATACACACCGATGCCCCTAGAAGCAGGTCCGTGTTCTCTGACAGCAGGAGTCCTGCTCAGCGACTTGGGTAACCCGTTAGGGGGGATGAAGTTGAGGGGTCTGCCAAAGCAGACGTGGGAGGCACAAGTGACTCTCATCCTGGGTCATGAAGGCAGGGTGGGAGTGGCAGGGGGTACGGAGGGAAGGGTGAGCGGCCGACTTCTTACCTAGACCGCACGCTCTTTATGAAAACAGCGTTTGGTAGGCCTAAATGTATGAACTACAAATTACAAGTAGGTTAAAGGATAAGGCGTCCGTGTCTGAATGAATATATAGGTTTATGCTTCAGAAAAGACCCTCGGATCAGAGCTGCACAGGTGGTCCTAGTTTCTGAGGTGTGGACAGCTGTGGCCATCGTCCCCACCCTGCCATGCGCCCTTTCTGAGGCCGAGAGCCTGCAGCAGCGGACATCTGGATTCACGAGGAGGACCAAGCGTCTGCCGCCCAGCCACCGTGCCCCTGGCCGCGCCCTGGCCTCTTGCCGCTTGGATGAACTGGCATTGGAGTCCCTGTGGGTGGATCCTCAGCTTGGGCATGGTGGCTCAGCAGCCCCTCTGGTCAGGGGGCTGAGAAGCGGGAGTTACGAAAACAGCACTTGGCAGGGCTGGGTGCGTGGTCGCCGTGTTGAGAAGGCTCTGTGGTAAGTTCAGGTGAACCGGGCGGCTCACCTAGGCATCACCTGTGTAGGCTGAGGCCACTTACCCGCGGGGTAAGGATGCACAACAGGGCATCAGCAGTGACCTCCCACGTTGACACGGAGTCGCGAGACCCTCAAATACCAGGCATGTGAAGCCGAACAGTTGTGGGTGCAGGGGCTGAGGGCGAAGGTCGGGGCCCGAGTGCCTCTGTGTGGAAGCTCACGAGACATTTGGGGGGTCGCCCCCTCGCCGGTGAGACCCTGAGCGGTGTCATCTGGCGCCAACACAGATTTCAGCTCTGACCCTCGGCCTCTCCCGGCCAACCCAGTCGGCTCCCAGACTCAAAGGCTGTAGAATCCGAACAGGCCCAGTTATACCAGACAGCTGGGGTCAAGCCACAGGCCCCAAGACCAGTGGAAGTATCTGTCCTGCACTTGACCCCTGAGCTGTGGAGACACCAAGGGGCAGACCTTACCACGCCTTGGCCTCCCTGACCCCTCCCAGGGAGAATCAGCCAGACGAGCCTGCTGGGGAGGCGGCCGCGGGGTTCGCTGTCCGGTTGGATTCCTCGGGCTGCAGGAGAGTGAGCTCCCTGGAGTCCTGGGACCCCGGGTGGGAGGAAGGGCCTGGCGGGAGTCCGGCCGTCGGATCTACAGAGCCTCTTGTGGCTGGAGCCCGCGCTTTACCACGGGACTTGCCCACCCTCCCTGGCCTCTGTCCTGCATTTTTGGCCCCTGGAGGTCTCGGTATCTGAGGTGTCCTTTCCCTGGGTCCTCACTGGGTTCCCGGCTGCCCTGGGGGGCTCTGGCAGCTCGCGTTCCGGACTCCGATTCTCTGACCGACCCAAGGCAGCTCCTCTGGTAGCTGTCTTCACCAGGACCAGCTTCCAAGTCGTGTGTGATTGTTTTCTTCTGGCGTATTGGGGACCCAGGCTGCAGAAGCTGCGCCCGCATCCCCCCCGCCCCGACCAGGTCCCAGTGTGTGGAAGGCACTTGCTTTGCAAATGTTTGCTGACTGAGTGAACAGGCCCCCCCAGAGGGAGGCTCCTCAGTGCACTGACCGGATGTGGTGTTGAGTCGTAGGCATGGGTGACGAGATAGAAGGGCCCTTGGCCCCATCCAGGGAGCTGGTCACTACTGGGGCACCTGAAGTGACCCCTCTTTCTCCCTCAAGTGTCTCCCAATCCCGCCTCCCCCTGACCACCTGGGCCTGCTCTGGGATCTCACAGCCCCTCTGGCTCCGGCCCTGGTCTGCCCCATTCTTCGATGTTTGGGCAGGGAGGGGGGATCTGCTTTACGGTGGTGGCCTCTGTTGAACCCCTAGGGTGTGGGACACCCAGCGTAGTGAATTAGATTAGAAAGACCTGAAGGCACTTCTTAGAAGACCCTTCCGGCCTATGGAGGGCATGGTGTTTAAGACCTGAAGTCTCCTGCGTGCCTGTCCACCAGCTGTCACTCCCAGGTCGCCCCAGCTCCCCTTAGTTTGTGCACGGGCTCTGCGGCACCTTGGTCCTCGCGACTGCTCCTGGTCCTGACCACCAGGTGGCAGCATCTGTAAAGCCCTGGCGCCATTCTTCCGCCGCTCTGCCCGCAGACACCGAAGGTCCCCACCCCTGCGATGTAGGGGAGAGGTGTGTAGGAATGGTGATGCGTATTTTGTAAAAGAATAGATGTTTCCTGGAGGCAAGCAGCCAGAGAGGAGGGGTGGGGCGGTCTGGGCAAGGGGCAACTGGAACAGGTCACAGCCGGACCATGGGAGAGAGATGGGGGCTGGGGGCTGTGGGTGGCATGGGCAGGGCGCAGAATGGATGTGACGGCAGGGAAAGGCTGTTGGGAGGACAGGAGGTGCTTCTCTGTGGTTTTCAGCTGCATTCCCCACGCTGGGCCGTACGCTAGGTGCTCAGCAAACATTGGCTGAGTGGCGATCACCCCGTGATCACCTCAGCAGTGGTGATTCCCAGCATGATGGCCCTAGAAGTTCCCCGGAGAGTCCCCCTGAGCTGCCACTGCCCTAAGGGTCCTGTGCCCCAACTGTGCTCCCATCTCAGGACATCTGCGCCTCCTCTTCCGAGACTTTCAGGAAGAGGGTGCTCGGGGGCCCTCCAGCCTGCTCACGGCTAGGACGAGGGCACAGCATGCCCCTGCAGACCCTGCATGCGTGACTTGAAGGTAGTGTGAAGCTGAGCACCTCAGCGCACAGCGGGCCCTGGCCGTTGTCCTTCTGGCGCATTCCCTCAAAACCTGCGGCCCAGGGCGCCTGGGTGTGAGAACGCCACCTTGCCCAGTCCCTGCTTCCCAGCGCAGGGCCCAGGGTTAGTCCAACAGTCTGGGAAGACAGAAACCAGACGGCTGAAGGCTGTGCTTTCACGACTTGCCCCCCGGCCCCACGCTCAGTGTCTGCTCACATGTGGGCCGCGGGCAGGGGCAGTGGTGCGTTCATTCCCAAGCAACATCAAGGCACAGGAGTTGGGTTTTCAAGTCTGCTGAGTGGAAAGTCAGGAGTGGCCGGTTTTAGTGGCTTGAAGGGCGTCAGTCTTATCACGGGCCCACGGAGCGAAGGCTTCCCTTCCCCTTCCTCTTACGGTAGCCGGGCGAAGACCCACCGCGGGGAAGGACCACGGCAGCTCAGCATTTCCTCCAGAAACATTAAGCAGCGTGAGATCTGGAGTCAGATTCCCCGGTACAAGCGTGCGACCCTGTGTGACCTGGGCCAAGCACTTAGGGCGCCCGTCTCGGGTCCAGGTCTGCCTGCCAAACGGAGCCGGGCCAGCTCCCCCCCCTCGCCGGCGAGGACGAAGCCTGAAGGCTGCAGAAGGCACTTAGCTCACCGCAGGGCCCATCGTAGGACTTGGGGACCCGTGAGCAGTGGTCACTATCCTCACCATCATCACAGCTCCCTTGTGAAGTCCGGAGAGTGATTCTCTGAGATGTGGAAATCTCAGCGAGTCCCGGGCCTCACGCTTTGGCTCCTGTGGTTGCTCCCCCTGCCATCTGCTGGGAATAGACCTGAAGGTCAAGGGCAGCGTTTGGGTGCTGGCCTGAGGGCGGCCAGGGCTCTGCTCCGCCCACTGACTCCGTGCGGATTCCCACGTGTAAGACCAATCTCTGTTTCCATAGAAAGTTCTAGGAAGAAGGCCTTAAGGTTTGGCAAGCCAGGAGTGAGAGGGAAGCCTCCCTCTTCCTTCTTTCTTGCATGAAGATTTGACCATTCTGGGCAAAAGCATCCCAGACCAGGGGCCAGCCATCCGACACCACATTTTCTAAAACGTCTAAAGCTCTTGTAAGCAATATAAGTGCGGGGAGGATGAGTCTGGAGTCCCAGGAAAAGCATGGGACAAACAGGAGGCCCAAAGGAATTGCGTGACTGAAAAGTCACCAAAGTTCTCTCTGCTTCACCTACACATGGAGCAGGGAGGATGAGACCGGCCTCACTTAGCTTGTAACTACCAAGGGTAAAATG